CGGGCTCAGGCAATCCACTCACCTCAGCCTCCCAAAGGCGCGGGATTACAGGCTGAGCCACCGAGCCCGGCCATCATCCACATTTTAAATATGAAAAGTGACAGTTAGAAAACGCAAGTGACTTTTTCAAGTCACACCAACCCAGTTATCTGATTCCAAAGTCAGTGTGCCAAATGGCTACACAGATGGCCTCAACAGCACTGCAAGGCTGCTGGGCATATCAAAGACAAAGTCCACAAAGCAACTAGCATGTCATAGATATCTGTCACTATTCCTTATCCACCCCAGTTTCGTGGCATCTGCAAACCTAGTATGTATGCTTTCTATGTGGTCTTCCAAACCTTGGATAAAAGCAATCTACAGAACAGAACTCTATAACTCTCATGTTCTCTCCTGGATCCTCAAACATGAAAGAAATAGCTTGGAAAATTAATCCCTTTGAATAATTAGTTAGCCGAATCAGAGCATAACAGCCCTTGATATGGAGAGGGCCTCTGTGTTTGAAATATGTATCTTAGTTCCCATTTCTGTCCTGTGGAAGGCTAGAACTTAAGAAGCATTGGAAGAGAATGGCTAAGAATCTACTGGAAATTTATTTCAGCCACAAACTATGAAAGGCCCGTTTACCAAAAGTCCTCCCTAAACTATGGTATAGAAGCAGCAAGAAAACTGGCAAATGTTTTGAAGTTAAATTGACTCTAATGTTTTAGTAAGTTAAGTCTCCAAATCAGCCCCATCCACCCCCAGAAGGATCAGCTGATTCTAAGCTGAGAGTCTACAGTGATTAGCAAGGGAATACATTGAACAAAGTTAGGAACTAGAACATAATATTGAGGGTCTACAGTGATTAGCAAGAGAATACTTTGAACAAAGTTAGAGACTAGAACATAGGATTAAGAGTCTACAGTGATTAGCAAGGGAATACTTTAAACAAAGTTAGGGACTAGAACATAGTATTAAAATCAGCTATGAGGCCAGACGTAGTGGCTCATGCCCATAATCTCAGCACTTTGGGAGGCTGAGGCAGGAGGACCACTTGAGCTCAGAAGTTTGAGATCAGCCTGGGCCACATAGCAAGACCCTGCCTCTACAAAAATAAAAAATAATAATAATAATAGCATAAAAATAATTTTTCAAAAAAAAGAAAGGAGTCAGTTACGAATTAGCACAAAAAGGACCAAATCCTACCTAGGTGTTTCTCTTTAAAAACTGCCCCATGGCGCCCCCTGTATTCAGACTTAATACCATTTCCAGCTTTATATGGTTTATTTAAAAAAAAAAAGATAATTGATGGAAAAGCATGACTCTCCCATTTTCTCCTGCCCAAGGCCAAAGAGGAGCTGTTTGACCCAAGAGGCCAAACCAAGAGATCACTAATCACCCCACAAGGGACCCTTAATTGCAGGCAAAGTGCTTAAGAGGAAGTAAGCAGACTTTCGAGGGTGGTTCTTGCAAATTTAAAGAGAAAACGAACCGCAGTCACCATCAGCGCCTGGAAATAAATTTCTAATGTGCGCGCACCAATTAGCAAGCGATGCAGGGTGTCATAGAGCGCTAATGGGTGGGGTGCGGGTTATAAGTTCTAGAAGTCGGGAGGAGGAAAATGCAGGGCTTGAGATGAGCCTCTCCAGGAGGGTGAGCCCTAGCCAGGCAGGAGAGAGGAGGGGTCCAGGAAGGAAGACAGGCAGGAGCCACGGTCAGAAAGGGGCCTGAGCACAGCGGTATTCTGGAAGTGGCAGACATGATGATGGAGAGTTCTGGATGGAAGGACGCTTAATTCTCATCTCCCTGCGGATACAGTTGCTTCTCTCCAGCAGAGGACATCAACATTTGGCTTCAGCTAAAAGCTCCAGGATCGTCCTCTCCTCCTGTCTCCTCCACGTGGCTCATGCAGATGCTCTGGCTTGTTTTTCAACTACATCTCAGATCCACTGCCTTAAGCAAAGCCATGACCATCTCTGGTCTAGGCAACTGGAATGGCCACCCAATGTATCTCCCTGTTTCTTGACTTTTCTCTTGGAGATCCATCTTTCAAATATCAGCCAGAGGAATATTTTATTTTATTTAAGAGACAGGGCCTTGCTTTGTCACCCAAGCTGGAGTGCAGTGATACAGTCATAGATCACTGCAGCCTCCAACTCTTGGGCTTGAGCAATCCTCCCACCTCAGTCTACCAAGTAGCTGGGACTTCAAGTGTATGCTGCCATGCTCAGCTAATTTTTTTTTTTTGAGTTGGAGTCTCACTCTGTCACCCAGACTAGAGTGCAGTGGCCACTCCCGGCCACCGCAGTCTCGACCTGCTGGGCTCCGGCGATCCTT